TCTGCCCAAAATCGAAACATTCAAAAATTGTTTAACGCTATTAAAAAAAAAAAAAAAAAAAAAAAAAAAAAAACGACTACGAGGAAATATACCGCATGGAAATGATTTGGTACAAAGGATGTTCGTGTTTATTATTTTTTTTTCTGGAGTTAATTTTAATGTTGATATTTAGTTAAGATAATTGCAGTTTATTGGAGATATGAAAGTAGCGTCTCTAAATATTTTCCCGCAAACTATATGGTGTATTTAATAATGGAATTCACCTGTACAGAACGTAGCCTTTATTGCTACATTAAGCTTTGCAATTTGTTTAATAAATTATTCATTATTACTGTTATAGTTGAGTATGACACTTAAAGGGGAACTCCGCCGATTTCTTCATGGTCCCCGATTTATTTGAAATTTTGCTAAACTCGCCAAACAACATCGCCAAAATAGTATCCCAAATATTAGGTCAAAATAATTTTTTTTCACGAAGTTATTGAATTTACAATTTTGGTCCTCACCGTGTTTTTCAAACTGAAAGTCTCTACTGGCAACAATGAAAAAGTGACGTCATTGGAAGTGCAGGGGTTCACTCTTTGGACTGTAGAATTTGTTCCCAACTGATTTGAAGCAGTTTCATGGTGTGAAATGAATGCTTTGGAAGCTCGCTCCAGTCCCCACGCTCCATCACGGAACAAATGATTGACATATTCTATTTTTTAGACTGCTCGCCCGACTGGCAAGCTGACCTTCCACTGACGTCACGGCCCTGAAAAGGGCGGGTATATTTGAATGTTTGTTTTTGCATGATTTTCATTTGCCGATTTCGCAATAACTATTATGAATTTCACGATACTAAATAGCATACCAGAAAGGGTAAAGGCCGGGGAGTCAGAAAATATAGTTAGTTGAGGTAGCTCAAAAATCGGCGGAGTACCCCTTTAATGCCAGTCCCGTAAACTTCGATTTCAAAACTCGCGACGCACATAGCGCAACCCCGTTGGCGATAGCGAATTTTTTTTATTCTTCTGTTTTTCCCATCAAATCGTAAGGTTGTCATCAAACTAACTGTCTCAACTGCAAGCAGCGAAAGTATACGCAGGCTAGCTGGTCAGGAAACATCAGAATCTAAACCCTGAGACAAGGAGAAATAAGATAACGAACAAGACGACACAGAATCTTCCCACTCCGGAAAGAAACCTAAGCGGAACATTTTGGTGTACCCCCGTACCCGGTCGTAGTAAAATTAAAAAAAAAAAAGAGGCACCTAGCTTGTCTTCGCGCCAACTGTGCCATTTCGCATGTGCAGTTTCAGCTCTTTCTTCGTCCGCCAAATTGCGTACTCTGTTTGACCCGTTAATAAACGCGTGCCGCGGAGGAATAACGTTTTCGAACGACGAAGCAAAGACCTTTTATGAGATTTTTTCTTACCTATTTTTCAAGGGCATGTCAAAGGCTTTCCGACTACATGCCTTTATATATATACAACAGGTGGTTCGGTGCTCACTGCCCCGATGCTGCTCATGCCACTCTGTTTGTGCTGGTTCGCGGATTCTATATAAAGGCTTTGTATGTACCGACAGAAGAACAATTTCTTCGAAACACGAAGGTAGGAATTGGTCGAAGATTGAATGCCGAAGAACCAGAGAGGTCTTCGGCATAAATGCCACGGTGACCAAGGTATTACTCGTCGACGACCAAAGAATGTTATATTGTCACGGATGAAGGTGACGAAAAGATGAACAGTGAACTGAAAATAAAGGTTTAATCGGCGAACTTGTGCAGAATGGCGGCACACAGCAGAGGATTGAACGGAAGGCCGGCATTTGCTTCCAGCGGATGTTGGTTGTTACTTGTAAAAGAAGTGTCAAGGGACTTTAGTCGAAACAGCAGACAAGCGGGCGGCGATTTGACGGCGTAACAGCAAACGAGAGCGATACTGACTCGACCAGGTCCAGCGCAGCTCCTTATCTATAGTGTGCGTCAGCATCTCGAAAATTCGGCCCAGAAGGTTAGAGCGTCGAGCGTTCGGGGTGACAATGAGCCGGCACTTTCGAGAACAAGAAAGTAGGACGAAATGATAAAAGTTGCGTCCCGCATAAGAATTGACACGAATCTTCTAGAAGTCCATGACCGAGCGTTGCTTGCTCGGCCCTGCGTGCGGCAATATGTATATCACGGTCGTGGTAATGTCACGAGCGGCCAACAGACTGGGATTAAACAAGCAAAGCGACCAAGCCGTATACTAATACGTTTTTAATATGGGGCTGGTCAAATAAAACGAAACAGTTTGTTGGCTATCGCATACTTGCGGCAGTACATAAATATTTCGAAGCAAACCAAAGAAAACAAACTTTTCAAAGGAGTCACCAAAAACGATCATCCTATGCTCCCCTCCCCGACAAAAAAAAAAAAAAGCGGAGTCACGTTTTCTACAGCACTACGCAGAAAGCGATTATTAGAACGGTCTGTAAATATGTACTTCGTGGAAATATATTAAATACTTTCTCTCAAGCCCGTCGCTTTGGGAGGGCGAACGCCCTTCACGTCCCAAGATGTTTGCAAAGTAGAATAAAAGCACTCTTTGAGTTGATAATCGCGCTGCCAATATTAGGACGCCGAGGGCTCGATGGAGAAACCAAATTCCGATCGGAAATCAATGCCCAGGCGTCCTCGTTGGCGAGAGTTCACAATCGCGGTTCCTCGATGTCCGAGGTTCGTAGTTTCCAAGTGGGACACTCTGTTGGACCTCGGTGATCAGTGTGTTTTTCGTTCCACTTACGAATTTACAGTAAAAAAAGTAACGTTAAACGGATCTATGGGACAATATCGCTGAAAAGAATGAAAAATAAAGAAAGGCATGGTCGATTATTGATTGATTGATCGGCCGAACGAGGACACCGCTGATGCTGTACCATCAGGACGGAGAGCGACTTCGTGCTGCGTCTCACATATGATTACTGTTATTACTGTAATCAGTCTGATAACGACGGCGAAGAGTACAGTTTACTTTAGGGGGGTATACTTACTAAACTCCGCTACACTCCATCCAATAATATATATATATATATATATATATATATATATATATATATATATATAATATTGCAGCGCGAACCCCCCCCCCCCCCCCCCCCAGTTCCCAACGCCACGAACTTCTTTATTTCAGTGAACACCGCAAATTGAAATTGCGCTGGAATTTTATTGGGCACTGACTATAGTGTCAAAAGTCAACAAAGCTGTAAACCACGGAAAAAAAAAAGAAAAAAGAAATACGAATGCGAGCACGCAGGATTGACTGTTCCCAATGGCTATAAAATGAGCTGCATAGTTTCTCAAAGCGAGGGCAGAGTTTGAACATCGCGATTCTGAATTGCAGCTCGATGCTGAAGAGCGACCTGTACTTATTTTATTTTTTATTTTCATCGTTGCCACCGAAAAAAAAAATATATATATATATATTTATTTGTTGTGTGATTTCCCGATGAATTTTGGGTTCGCGACCCACAGGTTGAGAAGCACGGCACTAAGTTTCATTCGCACCACAAAAGACACGGTGTTGGCTGCACAAAATAAATAAATAAATAAATGAGATCACTACAGAATTAATTTTGCCGACACGTCTTAATGATATTCGAGGCACATTTCCTTCATACATGTCAACGCTTCCAACATGGTTTGCCGACAGTTCTTTGTACGGCCACTGAGACATGCAGGATTACCGTACAAGAAGCAAAACACGCCTCAGACAGTACACTCTAAAAAAAAAGGGTATCACCTTACACCCTTTTGTCCCATATAATACACCCCAAAACTTCATTTCGAGCTACAGCGCCCTATAGTCGAACAGACGGGCCCAAATTTTACTAGGGGCTTGATAACGATGCGATATAACTTATTAAATTGCTAAAGTACGTATCAAAGACCAAAGAAAGAAAACACGGAGCTTTAGCAGTACGGTCAAGAAAACTCCGATAGTCTTTTTCGTTGTGAATAATACGTACATCAGCTATCTTAATAAGTTTACCACACGGCTATCAAGCCCCTCGTAAACTTTGGGGCCGCATGTTCGATTATGGGGCGCTGTACGTCGAATTGAAGTTTTGGGGTGTATTATATGGGACAAGGGGTGTAATAATACACCTTTTTTTTTCTGAGAGTGTATAGGGAGCTTTCGAGAACCGTTTTGAGCACATCCGATACGGTACGAACTGCGCATGCGCTAGCGCCGAAATCTTGCACATGCGCAGTTCGTACCGGAGGGCCCATGATACCTTGTCGGATGTTCAAAAGCAGTTTCCTAAAACTCTCTGCACACTGTCTCTTGTATGATGTATTAACAGTGTGATCGCGATTTTATGGAATGTGCGGTGTCATATGCGATGGCACAGTGAAATGCGATAGTGACTCGAACGTTAATAATGATAACCTTGTTTCTGGTGTTTTCTTCTTTTTGAGAAAGAGAGAGAGAGAGAGAGAGATAGTTGTCCAGCGATACGTAAAACATTATCGGAAATAAGAAAATTTAAAAAGAGAGAGAGATATATAATTTGCTGTGTTTACATGTAGATGTGCGATAATCTAATCGTGGCGAGTGCGATTTGATTTTGGCGTGGCCAACGGCCATTGCTGTCTTGAGAGGTTACGAAATTAGACATCGATTGGAAAAGGGGGCGCGTTTACGACGATGACGACGGCGGCGGTACGGTTTTGCATCGTTAATGTCACTTACAAAAAGTAGGAGAAAAGAAAAGAGAACTCAGAATTAGAACTGTTTGTCCCGCGTGGTGTTGCATACTTAAACGTAATCAAATGGCTTTTTTTAATTTATTTTGTTTAACTTTATTTCGATTTTAAAAGGCGGTAGTTACATGTATCTGCTCCCGCGGGCGCTTTTAAAAGCAAAGTCAAAATAATAAAGCAAGACGTGCACAAATTTACAACAACAAAAAAAATAGATTACGATAGACACTGAAAGACTTGCACTGTATACAAAAAGAGAACTCTGCACTTACCATGTTTTGAGTTCCAAAATAATGGAGAGCTAGAAGTTCCTTGGTAGTGTTAGCAAGATAGCAGACAACGGTGCAGTAATCCTGTCCCAGCACGGAGCAGATGACGACGGCTGTCGAAAACGGTCGAAAACGCAAATCAAAATAAAAAAGAAGTAGAAGAAAAAACACCTCCGCAAATCGACGACTACGACGGGTCCCACCGTTGGCGAAGACAACCAAGAACTAAAGTTAGCTTCAGTGCACTTTGATCGCAGAAACGGCCCGAAAAGCTGAAATTTCGTAGGCAAACTTTGCCCGGGACATGGGACTTGCACTGGTTGAAGTCTGGAAGAGCAGACGACGCACGCTGTAGCAGACGATCCCGCAGTCAGCACAGATCAGCGGCGGCCGCCCAGCGAGCGGAAACCGGCATAATGTCGAAACTCGGGGTTCCTGTGGGATCCTTTCTACCTTTTGTTGGTGTTGTACTGTTGTTTCTTCCCGCGGCACGGGGACAAAACAGTTCTTCCCTCCGACTGGCACCCTGTGCTCTCAAGTAAGTTCTATTTCGGTAGATCCAATTACGAAGGACCAACAAAAAACGATGTGGTGCGCGGCAGCAGAACCGCTTTTACTTTTCTTTTTTTTTTCTCGCAAGGGGAGCGATTGCGATACCGCCTTGCGGCTAACGCTACAACTGACAAAACTCGAAAACGGTCTGAAGTGAAACCGAAACTATCCCTTTTATGCCAGTGATCTGTTGCAGAGGCTTTTTCGAACGTCCGACAAAGAGTTTCATTGACGTAATGGACGTTCTTTTTTGCAGTACCATTTTATCGGCTTTTTGTAGCGACAGTGTGCCCCTTTTTAATCGATTCGGATTTACCAGTCGTAAAAGAAGTTGCATAATTTCCTTGCCCAAGGAAATTACGTCACTTCTCCTGGTGAGAAATTTCATCGGGGGTATATTTGTTGTGTTTAATGAAAATCAATGCACACTCGTACAGGTATTTTTTTTATATATATGAGCGAGTGTTTTAGTGTCATACATGAGTGTAATCGCAACTTTCAAGTCTAAGAGTAAGAAGAAAAAAAAAATAAAATAAACCCACTTTTTTTGCCCCGCAGAAATGGACCACCCTTCGTAGAAAGCTGAACCTTCTTGTGAACGTGACGCTAGCGGTGGTGATAGTACAGTGGCTTATAAATACCTCAAAAACAATTATTTTCTTTTAGTGAACTTCCAACGACATGGTTTGTGTTCGTAGGTGAATAAAAATGTGAAACTAGTAGACGAAAGTGTAGTCGACACCTGCGAATTGACTCCGTAAGTGTGACGTCATGGGTACAAACAAACCGTTGCTAGGGTCGTTGTTATGGACAAATACATGTAGCTAGGTTTCGCTACGAAAAACCCGACCGTTCAAAAATCGGGAGTAGGATTTAAACTTTAAAAATAACAGATATAGAAAGCTTGCATGTCATATATGTTTCGACAGAAGTGTGCCGGTAATCACTTGTTTCTGAAATATTTACGACTGCAACTTCCGGTCCTCAAGATGCCTGCAGCAGACGACGAATGCACGAAGTATGCCGTCTGCCACACGCCCGCCGGCCAAGCCGGCGCCGGCGTCTGAATCGTGTGAATAAAGACGATATCCTGATGTTGCATCTGTTTGAAATATAATGAGTTTCAGACGCTTATAAGAATTCATAGTGGGGTGCGATGAAAAATATGGTTTATCGAAAGTCCGGGCGTCGATTGAGATGATCGTCTGCTAAAAGATCGCATTGCACCCGTGAGAAAAGCACTTCAGTCAATCGGTCTAGATCCCAAATTTTGTTTGCGGACTCGGCTATGAGAGGGTGCTCCGTACCTGGTTGTAACCATCGCGTGGAGAAAGATTCTTGCTGTTTCTTCAGAGTCCCGCAAGACCCCAAAGCACAAAAGAACTAAAAAAAAACATAAGGTGACTTTATTACAGATTGTGCTCGCATCGCGGGTTCGATAGAGATCTTCACCAAAAAAGCACATCCACAAATTTTGATGTACACCAAGGAAAAAAGAGATACTGTGAAATGGCGATAGACATGCAATTCCTTAATAACCTGACAACCTCAATCATAATAACAACAAACGACTTACCTCGGCGGCGTACGATTTGTTTCTTATGCTGGCCTGCACTACGCCGGTAATGCACTTCAGGTCGTCGTCGTAACTGATCTCCATGGCGTGGTTTGATTTTATGGCATTTTCATCCCTCTGAACTAAATTGGATTCTTCACAGAAAAAAAAAAAAAAGCACATTGCGGAGGCCTTTACAGCCATGGCGATGCACTTGTTTTTGTCGCTCGTTTACCGACGCAATTCAATGAAGACGCCCGCTGCAACAGAGGCCAGCGAACCTATCGTGTCGTCTGCTACCAAAGCAAAACGGAGTGTAATACTTCTGAAATGGCTTTCATCGTTGCAATACGACACTGAGACGACAAAAACATCTTCGTAATTAGATATCAAGAAGTTAGGTTGCTTACAAAAAATTATTTACTTACTTGTAAGCAAAAGTCTAGCCTCAGGTGGAGTCTCCATGCATTAGTCCATAGCAACGTCCCTAGCAACGGTTTGTTTGGACCCAGACGCCATGTTGTGACGTCATCACTTACGGGGTCAATTGGCCGGAGCTGGCCGGAGCCAAGCTGACCAAGCGCTTGCAGCACCGGAACGACGGTGCTGCAAGCGCCAGCGCCACCCGCGGCCGTCTTCCAACGCTGTGCCGCTTCTCCGGTTTCGTTCGTTACACTACCGCTTTAAGCCACTGTAGTGATAGCATGTTGAAGCTTGAGAACATGACATTACCCGGATCAAGGGATAAAGCAGGAAGACGGAATAGACCATGATCAATCATCAAATTTCCTCCATATTGGAGGGTTCCCGTACCGATAATTTCGCCCGAGAGACAATGGTTCCGGCAAACAGCGGCATAGCCAGAATTTTTTTTCGGGGGGGGGGGGGGGGGGGGTGGGGGGGGGGCTGAGGTGGCTGTGATGACCATGATTTATTGGGGTGCGGATGGGAGGAGAGGGCGTCAAAATGCATGTATTTGTTGCACGGTCGGCTAGATTTCGGCTTCGGGATGCAACCCCATAAGCCTCTGAAGATGTGGGGTTCTGCCGGGCACTGTTAGTGTATGAGTAGGAATATGAAGTGAAATATGAGTGCCAAAGGAAAGGAGGAGAACGACGGTTCGAGCAAACGCCACTGCCGGCAAAGTGAGAGCCGTAGAACAAGAATATGATCACCTGCTGCGAGTACAGTACGAAACCTTCACCGCACACCTTCGATAAAGTCCATTCCCTTACCTAGATGTCCCAGTTCACTGCTTGAGTGACGAGTCTTGCGATCTAGTTGCTGTCAATTTATTTCGAGAATTTCGCGGCGGTCCTTTTATTGTTTTTTGAACCGCGACTGAACAGAAACCTGTTGAGCGGGTACCCAAATAAATTGTCCTGATATCACGTCCACTAGTACCACTACTAATGATGATGATGGCTTGCAAGAATTTTGCATATGGCCTATTCCTCTAGGAGCCGACTTGGGCCTAATATCCGTCAAGCCAACAAATGGCAAGCCGGCTATGGCCTACTCTTCGACTGGCCAAACAAAGCCGCAAGGAGGGGATCTTTTGTCGAATACTAGAAAACCTTGAGGACTTTGAAGGTCCTGCGCATGAAGCGTTCTCTGGCACAAAGAAAACAGTGACTCGGGACTTCCCCACTAAGACCAAATTTAGTAGTTACATAGCGTGCTTGAAATACCGGGGGTGTATCTAAAATGGGCTGTAAATACGATGATGGCACGTAGCAATCTAAACTTTTCGTCAAAGGTGTATTTCACAGGTGGGTTTTACCTTGCAAAATGACAAAGAGTAGCTCCCTCTCTGTAAAAAATTGGACCAAAAAATGAAAGCCGTTTACAACTCCCTGTAACGCCGAATTAGAGCGCAGCTAGCTCTTGAGGAGGAGGAAGGAAGGGTACTGAGGAGAAGATATGCCCCTCCTCCTCACCTCCTCATCCTGTCTGCTACTCCTCCCTCCAAGCGGCGCCGCCATCTCCTCACGAAGGTCACGTGACCTCACGGGGGTCACGTGACGTCACCAGGGTCACGTGACCCCTGTGAAGTTACGTGATGATGACGTCATCGTGATAACGTCATCGTCATCATCACTGATTACGTCATCAGCATCGTCATTGATGACGTCATCAGCATCGTCATTGATGACGTCATCGGCATCGTCATTGTCATCGTCACTGATGACGTCATCGGCATTGGCGTCGGCATCGTCACTGATGACGTCATCAGTGACGTCACGCGTCCATAATGCACCGCGCGGTTACGCCGACGGCGACGCCGCTCAAGCCGGAAACGGGCGCCTAAGAGCTGAGCTCTAAAAACTTGCCAGGGTCATCGGCAGACGGCGACGAAGACAACCGAGTCGAGTGGTGGGGCGCGTTTGGCGCACTTATTGATAGATGACGCTTCCTCCTTATCGAGACCGTTCGCAACGACCGTGTCTTATGTATCAGAACTGATCTTAATGTCGAGTTTCAGCCAGCTGTAATGAGCAGTCTGGCAACCTGAATAAAACAGTTCATCGTTACAAGACAAACTCGATGCATGGTGTCAGAAGGGACCAGTCCCGTAAAAAAGGGTGGTGAACTAAGAAGAAAGCCAAACCATGGCCGTGCTCAAGTTTCCCGAGGGCCTGAACTTGCGGAGAACTGGCAACGATTCAAACAACGAGTGGAACTGTGCCTACGGGCGACGGAGACCACCAAGTGAACCGATACAACACCTTTACCTTCGCACCTGAAGAAAAACAGGACTGCCAGACGGTACTGAAGAAGTTGAAGAGTACTGCATGTCCCGGAAAAATGAAACCTACGAACGGTACGTGTTTTGTTCACGAAAATAAGAAAGTGGTGAGCTGTTTGAACAGTTCGTGCGAGAGCTACAACTAAAAGGGAAATTTTGCAACTTCTTGACTTTGTAGGGACTCCATATTACGATATCAAATCGTACGTGGGGTAACAGAGAAAAAACTGCGAGAGCGTTTGTTGCGCGAAGATCTGACGTTGGAAAAGGCCATACAGCTCGGGAAGGCCTATGAGGCTCTTCAGGCACAAAATGATACTCTCGACAGTCCCCGACGTGTCGACACAGTAGACAAAAAGAAGAGAGCGGACATGCATGAGCGGAAAGTCCAACCGACGGAAAACAATTGCCTCAAGTGCGACCGGAAGCACGACCCACGGAAGTGTCCGGCATACAACAAAAAGTGCAACAAGTGCCACAGGATGAACCACTTCGCCGGGTGTTGCAAAACGATCTTCGGTAGATGAAGTAAAAGAACAGGACGACAGCGAGACAGCGACTTCGCCATTCTTCAAGTCAGCACATGCAAGACTAAAAAAGGTGACGAGTGGCTGGTCAAGGCTAGCCAACAAGGAAGTGGAACTAAAAGTTGACACAGGGTGCCAGGCAAATCTTTTGCCAAGTTCACTGTTCCGGAAGCTACACAAGGCAGCGAGCCTGAAACAAAGCATTTCATTCCTAAAAAGCTACAACGATGGTGTGATTGCACACCA